TATATTTATCCAGTAAAACATGAAAATAACCTCTGCCATACATGACAATCTACTACAGATGTCATTGCAAGAGCGTTCACTTCAAACCAACATTGCTAACGCTAAATGTGTCAGTCTGAAATTCTCTAGGGTGTATTTTGGTTTTTCCATCTGAAATTGCTGGGCAAATTATTCAGTAACCGCATGAAATAAATGTAAATTTATATTTTTTTATTTACGTGTTTTATGATCACACATATTGCTATATGCTTACAATTTACTGTTGAAAGCCAAAAACCTTAGACGCTCTTTGTATTATTTTATAAAAATCATTTTTACAGAGCAGATCACTGAAGAGACGCCATCTGTTTATAGTTTATAGCCCAGATTTGTGGAAAAATGGGTCGACTTTCAATAGAAACAAAAATTATGAGTTCGGCTTCTTTTATTATAAGGGTTTAAAATTACATCACCCATCTATTTGACTGGAATGAAGACAGTTACAGCTCTCATACAACCCCCACCTTTTGAATGTAGCTTATGAAATATGAAAGTTATGAAGAATATGACGAAGTTTGTTTTGGAACCACCGGTGGTCTCAAGGAGTTGAAGAGGTTAAGAAATTAGAAATGAGGTTGACTCAAGGTTGAACTGAAAGTGGATAGTTCGCCTCACATGTACTGACAGACTTTGGTGATTGTTTATGGATGGGCTAACTTAGCTAGCTAACAAGTATCTGGCTAATTATAGCTAAAACTCTTGTTAGCTAGGTTGACTAGACACCAAATCATAGTTGAAGCAGCCTTTTGGTTGAGGTTGGGTACCAAGTTTGTCTCGTTTCTGCTGTTCAGATTCTGTATTTGTTTCAGTTAAATAGGAAATTGAATCTAAACACATGTAATTAGCATTTTCGGCTGTTGAGATGAAATCGCTAGTTAGTTCTGATTTAGTGTTTGTAAAAGTGCCCCATTTATGTATAAAATGCTCCTGAATGCCTTGAATACCCTGACTGATTATTTATGAATGGATTTAGCTGGCTAGCAAGTTGTGGGCTAATGGCTAATTTGACTATCCAAACAAACGGATCAGAATGCAGCATTTTGAGTCAAGTTGGCTACCAATTTTATCAGTAAAATAAGAAACTGAATCTAAACACTTTTAAACACTGAATTTAAACCCATTTAAACACAAGAAGTGATCGCCAGTTAGTTTTCATTCAGGTAAAAGTTTTGTAAAAGTGACCCATTTGTATATAAAAAGTCCCTAAATGCCTCTAAGAGCCTGACTATCTAACAACTGGCTCACTAATGTAAGCTAACTAGCTAACTAGGTTGACTTGCCAAACAAACCAAGTTGACTGCAGCCTTTTAAATCAAGTTGGGTGACAGGTTTGACTCGTTTCTGCTGTTAAAATTCTGTATGTTTTCAATAAAATAGGAAATTGAATCTAAACCCTGCCGAATTAGTCGTTTTTCTGCGGTTGAGATTAAATTGCTAGTTCTGATTCAGTTAAAATGTTTGTAAAAATGCTCTCTTTATGTACGAAATGACCCTGAATGTCTTAGGCTACGTTTACACAGCAGGTAAAAGTGGCCTAAATCTGATCTTTTTTCTCATATGTGACTCAGATGTCTGTCTGTGTGTCAGTGTGAACAGATAAACACACTGAATCTGACATTTTCAATTCCGATTTGAGGCGCTTTCATATGTGGTACTGAAATCCGATACGTATCCGATCTGCAGCAATGCGACTCAGTCTGAACAGCTAGATCGGAATTCAAGTGACTTTTATCTCAATCCAACTCGACATTTGTCATAATTTTGCGCTGCTGAGACTCATAAATATTTAGTCTGATGTTTTTGTACCAAAACATTATTAGAGACTCATCAAACCGCTCCGTGTCTGAAGAGGTTTCGAACGAAACAGCCGAACGCGGCCGGGGGAGCCCGAGGCTGCAGCGTCAGAGAACAGTTTAAAGAATCTGAGTACTCGAACCAAAGAAGTGGCTGAATAATTTTACCCGCTGTGTAAACGTAGCCTTACATACCCCGACTGATTATATGAAATGGGTTCACTTGGCTAGCTAACAGCTGACTGGCTATTATTAGCTAAAACATTTGCTAGCTAGATTGACTAGCCAACCAAACCAATGTAGCCTTTTGGAACACGTTGAGCACCAAGTTTGACTTGTTTCTGTTGTTCAGATTTTGTATTTTTTTCAGTAAAATGCACACTTAGCTAGCTAGTTATCCCTTCATAAGCAATCTCAACAGCAGAAATATATATAAATTAATAGCTAGCCAGGCTGACCAGCCACAAAAGTTGAATACAGCATTTTGGTTCGAGTTGGGTACCAAATTTGACTTGTTTATCCTTTTCTGCTGCTGTATTTGTTTCAGTAAAACCGGAAATTGAATCTAAACACTGCTTTATTAGTATATTGTTTGTAAAAATGCCCCAGCAAAAATTAGCCTTTACAAAGTTATTATTCCTAAACTGTGCGCTTGGATGTAGAGATACACAGTATGACAATATTTCATCGTTGTTGTGGTAAATGTTGGCATCATGAAATATGCTTTTCTTCGGATATTGTGGATATCACGATATCACAATTTATTTGCATGTTTCATTAAATATAGACCATAATTAGGCCTGTTTGATTTGAGTCAGTGCAGTATAGTATGTGAGAAGTTGAATAAAAATCATAGTATTCCAAGTTTTGATGGTAGGTTTTTTAATACGTCACTGCTAATGTACTGTGTCTATGTATGAAAATGGCATGATATGTTTTGTGTATCATGAAAATGCGTTCAGGAACCGCAGTATTGTAATATTTTTGCCGTATCGCCCACCCGTCAGATCAACCCTGTCCTTTGTGGCCTGGAAGCAGATTTCAAACCGCAGCAGTGGCCAAACTACTCAGCTAACATTTCTGAATATGCAACAAGCCTGTACCTGGCCTGCTCATGCACTCATAACACTCGCGGGGGACTCGGAAGCCTTTTAAGTGTTTAAAAACACAAGCTAACTTTTATATGACCCTGCTCTGTTTCTGGAGGAATCAAACAAAGACCAGAGACGATACTTTCGCGTTTTGAAAACCGCAGCAGCTCCATCCATTATTCATGTCGGCCATTGCTCTCCTTTAAGACGCACTCTCCTCGGGGAATGAGTTATCAATATTTCATAATCCCACAATGCTCTCGTTCCCAAGCCACTGCTTTCATATCACACCACTTATCTTTCTTTGCGTTTTTTTTTAGACCAACTGTTTTTTCTTTTTTTTCCTTAGGTCTGCACAAATATTGCAGTGAGGTTTGAATTGTAACTGTAGATTACGGTTATTGGCTCCAGACCACTGGGGTGTTCTCTGTTTGGATGGTCTGGCCGTCTGGCTCACCTCTTCCTTCTGATCTCATTGTATATGTAAAAGTGTAGCCAATAGATTTGCAATGTTTGGAGGAAAAACTTTGGTGAACTTCTCTCTCCCCCCCAAAAGCTACTTCTTGAGGTCTTTTGCGGTTGATATTAATGCAAGATGGACGGATAAAATTCTATGTGGTTGCGATTCAAAGCCTGACCTCGTTTGAGATCATGATAATGGCTTTTCAGAGAACTTACACTGTAGCTGATGAGCCGAAACGTGTTTGGTGTGTGAGGTTCGCTTCTTTGTGTTGCGTTCATGACCAACTAGGAAGTTTCCAACCTCCAGGTGGGGAAAAATCCATTTAAATGTCCCTCCAACTCAAAATTCACAACTAGAAAGTTTCTGAAGAGCTCAGAGTTGCAATTCTGTGATGTCATTTCAACATGCCATTTTAAATAATAGCATCTTTTAAGCTTTTAAAGGAGACTTTTGAGGTTCCGTTTGACCATTATGTGCTTTTTGTTTATGATACTGCTGAACACAAAGCAAAATTTGGCAAATTGTGAAGTTCAGTGCAAGAGTTTTGATCAAACTGCACTTTTTCGGGGCATTTTTCTGAGCTATGTTTACAGAGAATTGTAAAGCCTACATTCACTTTTTAAAATTCATTAAAACCTTTAATAAACTAGTTTTTAATTTAAAAATAAATCTTTAAAAAAGCTTTTTATGCACACAGTAACCAAACAAATGCTAGCACTGAGCTGAAGTTGCATGAATGCTGTCCGAGCTTATATTTGAGGTACTTACTTACATGGTTCTGTACTTTACCATGCTGTTATCTGTAAATATGGACAAAAAGAACAACACGTGGCTAAAACCGGTAGCAACACTCATCTTTAGCTGTACTTTACTGCACTTGTTTATAGATACAGTTGAATGCAAAGGTTTTTACAGTTAGAAAAAGTTAAATATGGCATTTTTCTGCAAATTGTAGTGCACAGTGTATTTATTTGCTGAGCTTAACATTATTAGTATTATTATTCTTAAGCACCACCAAGTCAAGTCTGACTCCTGGTGACCATATGGATGGAGTTCCTCCAGAACTGTCTTCTGTTTGGATCTTCAGGCTTTTGAATGTAACTATCTGTCTTATAGCTGGTCAACCCCTTCCTCTTTTACATTCAACCCCTCCAAGGTCTTTTCAGATCAATTGGTTCTTCTCTGAATGTGTCCAGAATAAGAGTTTCAGTTTGGTTCCTCAGGCTTTGAGTGAGAGGTGAGGCTTGATTCGGTCAGGGATCCACTGGTTTGTTTTCTTTGCCATCTAAGGAACTCTCCAGTCTTCACCAACATCAAAGTTCAAAGACATCTTTCTTATCTTGCATGTTTATTGTCCAGCTTTTACATCCATAAAGGCCCACAGAGATGACCACAGCTTGGACAGCTGATCATTTTAATGAACAAAAAAGTGCAGAAATGTGTTGTCTGTAGAGGGTCCTTTCACCAGGGGTCACCTAACCTTTGCATGTATATCTATAAGTCATACCTCTTGACTGGCTTGGTTTGGGGTCAGGAGATAAAATAGATGCTTTAACTGAACACTGTATGCTAGTATGCTGGTTTCATGGTGTCTATTGTTTTCTCCCTCCACAGCTGATAGCCGTGTATGAGGAGATGGAGCTCCAGCAGAGGGCAGTGGCGAGTCCAGGGGGCAGCGTGGTGTCCAGCTACTCCAGCCCTGAGCCCTCAGAGCCTGAGCTGGGCAGCCTGCAGCCCGGCAGTGAGATCGAGGTCACCTCCAGCGCTCTGAAATCAAGTATGTGTTTTCGGCTCAGGTCTGTCTCCGAATAGTGGAAGAGTACTGCTCCAGGCTCTGTCTGTGCCTTTCCTGCTGGTGTACGTGGTTCTCTTTGTTGTCTGCATGGTGTAAAAAACTGTTACCAGTTTCTCTGCAAGGTTGAGAGTGGACAATTACCCAAAGATATCTAGCTGAGAGCAACTCTGTGGTCAGAAGCTGACCACAATTGAACTCAGCTCTGAAAAACTGAAAGGGAACAAGCTACAAATAACCTCAGCACTTTTTGTGTTCACAGTGTAAGTGAACTTTAAAGGTCCTCATAAGCAACGATGAGATCTTAGGCCACTTCACCTGGGTAGCCAGTTCATCATACAACTAATAAGCCACGTTCATACCCATGGTAAAGTACTCCAATGGTAATAAATCCAAGCTAATAAGATACATTAAATGTTGTTTATAAAATGATATTTAAACAAAATATTTTTATAATGAGCATTGTATTTATTAAACTCTATATTTATTTCCATTTTATTAAAGCAATAAGCCACTTGAGTCTGTGTTACAGCGATCCATATAGAGTTTAAGGCCTCATCTATGCAGATCCGTATATTTAGTAGCTTTTTTCACAATTTTTTGGGAGAATAATCGTTATTCTACACCAACATCATGTTTAAAAATCCCTTCGTCCACACGATACTGCAAAATGATTCAGAAACGCTCACATGAGCATGCCAGCCCAGTAGAAGGTGATAACACCATAAAATCTGATGTTGAATGCCTCAAGAACAACACTGCCAGCATGAAGCTGAAGTGGATATTACTAACAAAGCCACACGGCTGTGTCACAAACAGTAGGTCTTGATTTGCACACCCTCAAACCACCATAGTATCATATTTCACAAATTCACAAATATTTTACAAATTCAAAGTCCAGTGCCTGCCAGAAAATAAAAGCTACTAATAAACGCAATAGAAAGCCCATCATTTGCTGCTGTGTGGTTGTTTGCATTACAATGGCTATGCCACTGTCTCTGAAACCTCCACATAGTCCTGATCAGAAGAGTTTTTTCTACCATTTAAACTACAGAATTAATATGATTTTTTTAAAATATGACTTTGCTTATGGATGCTTAGAATCACTGAGGTATTTTTAATATTTGTAGTTGAGTTAACATTCTAGAAGAACACCCTCTAAAAGAACTGGGCGCAGTACATTCCGACACCTTTGCAAAGCTGAGTTGTACACTTTACTTAGCACACAAATTTCTAAGTCATCAGTCATGTTTCAGACAGAGTTCTGCACACTGAGTAAATGAAAACGGCTGCAGGCGGGCACAGGGTAATGTAAAATAATGCCAAAAAATTCTGTGTTTACAAAAACAATTGACTGAAAACAGTTTTCATGTGGACGGGAGGCCAAAACAGAGAGAAAACAAACTACGTTGTCAGAAATATCTGAATACATGTGGACGGGGCTTGACTCTACATCACAAGCATGCCTAACATCACCTTTTAACCCTGGTAAAAACACCATAAAGACACCCTGGCTCCCGTGGCTTTTTGCATTAATATTAGGGAAGTGCATTCATGACTAATTTTGATGTTCGGGTATCCGTAAGAGTTTGTGAATGGATATCAGAGTTGAGCTGAAGTTAATGAATAGGTGTGGCTTACCTTTTTAGGTGATGGCAAATTTAGCGTCAAGCACAAGAACATGTTTGAAATTGTTTTAATGTTCAAAAATAGCTGAGCGAAATTGTCTTGGGTCAATAACGGAGGCTAGAAAATTGTGGCTGTGTATTTACAGTAAACCTCAAGGTTCTGTAAACATATAATCATATAACCATTCTATAAGCACACCTTGTGTGAAAGTGTCCCTCACAACTAAGTGTGCATCAGCTATTCACTTCACTGTGCACCAGCTAGGTGAAGGTTTCCAATAAAGTGGCCAGTGAGTATACAGAATGTATCTCGGCAACAATGCTGTGCCTGATCCACTTGTACCAGCACCACCACAACCCGCTACCATGCTACCACCATAATCCAGTACCCAAATAATAATATCTGGTCAGTGGTGGTCCTGTGGTGGGGGCTGATCAACAGACTTACAGTCACTAAGAACACATACATGATGGCCGTTTCTGGTAAAAAGGCCAATGAGAGTAGGTACAAGGTGTGTTTCTAATAAACTGGCCACATAAACTGCACATGTAAAGGTGGCCTGTTTAGTTTCTACATGCCACATTACTGTTGAGACATCAGCCAACGGCTGGAAATACAATATCCGGGGCTTTTTTATTACATCATTGTAAAGAGCACAGAAGTGGAGTAAGATAAATGTACAAGCATTACTTGTAGGCCACGCAGGACTAACTAACATCAGTGGAGAGTGAAGTTTGCCTTTCTGATGCGTTGTTAGCCCCACTAGCTGTTCTGCTCTGGAGGCCCAATGAGAGCTGAGCAAACACTACATTTCCCACATGCCCATGTGTTTCCCATTGGTCTGCTCACGAACCGAAGCCTGCACGGCTAAATGGGGAAAACATCTGTTTGTGTGTGTGTATGTGTGGTCAGAAAAGAGCGAGCAGCACTTGCAAATGTGTGTGTGTTATGTATGCTCACACTTTGGGCTTGAAGGACCTCTAAAGTCATAATTTAAACCATACAGAAGTCATGTTGAATAATTAATGGACTCTTTTCAGCATGTTTAATGCAACAGTAGCTGTTATAAAAGGGAAAACATTACAGTAGTGGTGGTGCTTATGAACAGGAATATTAAAGTCTTCCTTTATAGCCTTAATGTGTCTAATGCGATGAATGCAACTTCACCCTCATAGTGCTAGTAGTGTCGTACGCTTGGGGAGGAATTATATTCCATATAACATGTAGAGTAAAGTTAGCATAGCTAATGGCTTCACCCACAGAAACACAGGCTTGCACTGTCAGATTTGAGTCTTTAAACTAAAAACTTGAGCTGAATGAACTTGTGGTGTTGTGAGTGAAGCTTAGCATGCTAAGCTACAACTACCTGCTGCTAGGACAGCAGCTACACACCGTATTTAACAGTTTTAGATAGCAGTGATGTTAGCAGTGTGGGTGGCTTTTAGCTGATGTAACAGAAATGGAGGTTAGCATTCTCCTCCAAGGACGTCGAGCTGTCCAATGATGTTGTTTGTTTCACAAGAGACAGCTAGCGTTCTAGATAGTAGTGTGCTAGTTGTGTGCTTGGGAGAGACCTAGCTAGCTGGTGGAATCGGTGTTATATTATGTGTAATGTATACAGTAATGTTAGCTTAGCTAACAGCTCCACACCCAAAAGCACCGGTTTGCACCATCAGATTTAAGTCTTTATTCTAAAAACTTGCACCAGTGGAGCTTCAGTGAGCTGGAATGGACTTCAGTGAAGCTTTAGCATGCTAAGCTACCACAAACTGCTGCTTGGGCCATGCTAAGATAGCAGCTACACAGCATATTTATCAGTGTTTGATAGATAACATTAATTTGACACCATTGTAACTTTAAATACCGACATCAGTGGTCTGTTTTAGCTGAGTTGAAACATGATTATGTAGCTAAATTAGCGCTGGGATGTTCTGTAGCTATAAATGTCCAGTCACCACATGGTAATCCTGTTCTTAGCACATTTCAACATACTGGACTATGATAGGTTCAGACTAATTTGTGAACACATTTGATTCAAATGGCAATATATATAATCAAACAATAGTGTGCAAAAGTTTTGGCACCCCCTTAAAAAGAAGTTAACACATCCTCTACAGAGAACACACGTCTCCTTATTTAATGCACTGTTATTGTTGAACTTAACATGTCAGCATAAAATGAGGCAAAAGTTATGACCTTTTATATCGTATGTTTTTCCAATTTCTTAAACTCAAAGAAACAAAAAATGTGCTACAATTTACAGAAAAATGTCGTGTTTAAATGTCTTCTCCGTAGAGGATGTGTTCACATATTTTCTCTCAGTAAACCAAAAGAAGATGTAATTGCTAACTATTGTAATAATGCCGTTTTTGAGCCCAGGAGGTATTTAACTGAAAAGGGAGGAAACCGGTGTTGCACATAATGAGCAAGAACATGCACACATGTCTGTATTTATACTTCTACACACTGCTTTTGATTTAGCAGGGACTAGTGATTAAGGTGGCAGCTCAGTGGACGTGTTTGGGCCATAACTCACCGTGTTTTTAGTAAGTTGTAAGAGGCAACATCAAAGCTGGGGGCTTAAAGAAGAACAGAGCTTTCCCTTTCATTTGCTTTCACTGGAGTTTCAGAGGGCAACTGATGCAGAATGTTCCAGAGCTTAACCACATGCTGATGCCAGCCAGTGCATTTGGAGGGGAGCTTCAACAATAAGCCGACAAAGTCGATTAGGGCTGTTACTGTTGACTATATTAGATAATGATTATTTTTTGTATTTAAAAAAGTTTTTAAAAACTTAAGAAAAAGAAACTGCAAAAAGACTTCATTAAGAAGAAAATCTAAAAATATAAACGAGAGTCAATCAGGCTCAGTTTCTCACTGTAAGAGAATTGAATGTGAATCATTGTCATGAAAAGTTCTAACTACACTGGGAAAAATGAAATCTTGCTAACTGGCAAGTGAAACTGGCTGGTTTGGTTCCATTTCAGATTTGTTTTGAATTACGGACTGAAAACTTGATGTTCAGTTTGGGTTCAGACAAAATTTTGTGAAGCTTGGACTGGGTGTGGACTCAAAACTTGGTGCTGTAGTTTGGGTCAGACTGTGGTCAGATATAAAATTATCCATATTCGGGGTCAGACCAAACTTTTAGGTCCCATTAAAGCTCTGATGTCAGGTTTGGGTCATGCTGAGGTGGTTTGAGTTAATTTTGCACAGAATTTTGTTTGAATTTTGTTTGACTGGTTAATTTTGGACTCGAAACTTGTCGTTCAGGTTGGGTTCGGAAAGAATTCTGTTGGGCTCTGATTGAGTTCAAACTCAAAACCTGGTGCTGTAGTTTGGGTCAGATCAAGGTC